CAACAAGGGAAAACCGACAAATAACATACAAGGGAACTCCCATAATAACCACAGCTGATTTCTCAGCAGAAACTCTACAAGCCAGAGGGAGTGGCATGATACATTAAACGTGATGAAAGGGAAGCACCTACAACCAAAATTACTCTACCCAGCATGGATCTCATTCAGCGTCAGTGGAGAAATCAGAAGCTTTACAGACAAGCAAAAGCTAAGAGAATTCAGGACCACCAAACCAGCTCTACAACAAATGGTACAGGAACTTCTCTAAGTGGGAAACACGAGAGGAAAAGGACCTACAAAACCAAACCCATAACAATTGAAAAAATGGTAATAGGAACATACATATGGATAGTTACCTTAAACGTGAATGGATTAAATGCTCCAACCAAAAGACACAGGATTGCTGAATGGATACAAAACCAAGACCCATATATATGCTGTCTACAAGAGATCCACTTCAGACTAGGGACACATACAGACTGAAAGTGATGGGTTGGAAAAAGATATTTCATGCAAATGGAAATCAAAAGAAAGCTGGAGTAGCAATACTCATATCAGATAAAATAGACTTTAAAATAAAGAATGTTACAAGAGACAAGGAAGATCGCTGCATAATGATCAAGGGATCAATCCAAGAAGAAGATATAACAATTATAAATATATATGCACCCAACATAGGAGCACCTCAATACATAAGGCCACTGCTAACAGCTCTAAAAGAGGAAATCGACAGTAACACAATAGTGGGGGACTTTAACACCTCACTGACACCAATGGACAGATCATCCAAAGTGAATATAAATAAGGAAACAGACCAGATAGATATAATTGATACTTATCGGACATTCCATCCAAAAACAGCAGATTACATTTTCTTCTCAAGGGCACATGGAACATTTTCCAAGATAGAGCACATCTTTGGTCACAAATCAAGCCACAGTAAATTTAAGAAAACTGAAATTATATCAAGTGTCTTTTCTGACCACAGCGCTGTGAGAGTAGAAATGAATTATTGGGGGAAAAAAAACGTAAAAAACACAAACACGTGGAGGCTAAACAATATGTTACTAAATAACCAAGATAGCACTGAAGAAATCAAAGAGGAAATCAAAAAATAGAGACAAATGACAACGAAAACACGATGATCCAAAACCTATAGGATGCAGCAAAAGCAGTTCTGAGAGGGAAATTTATAGCAATATAAGCCTACCTCAAGAAACAAGAAACACCTCAAATAAACAATCCAACCTTACACCTAGAGGAACTAGAGAAAGAAGAACAAACAAAACCCGAAGTTAGTAGAAGGAAAGAAATCATAAAGATCACAACAGAGATAAATGAAATAGAAAAAAAGAAAACAGTAGCAAAGATCAATAAAACTAAAAGCGGGTTCTTTGCCAAGATAACGAAAACAGATAAACCATTACCCAGACTCATGAAGAAAAAGAGGGAGAGGACTCAAATCAATAAAAGGAAATGAAAAAGGAGAAGTTACAGCAGACACCACAGAAATACAAAGCATCCTAAGAGACAACTACAAGCAACTCCATGCCAATAAAATGGACAACCTGAAAGAAATGCACAAATTCTTAGAAAGGTATAACCTTCCAAGACTGAACCAGGAAGAAATAGAAAGTATGAACAGACCAATCACAAGTAATGAAATTGAAACTGTGATTGAAAATCTTCCAGCAAACAAAAGTCCATCACCAGATGGCTTCACAGGTGAATTCTGTCCAACATTTAGAGAAGAACTAACACCCATCCTTCTCAAACTCTTCCACAAAATTGCAGAGGGAGGAACACTCCCAAACTCATTCTATGAGGCCACCATCACCCTGATACCAAAACCAGACAAGATACTACACAAAAAGAAAATTACAGACCAATATCACTCATGAATATAGATGCAAAAATCCTCAACAAAATAGTAGCAAACAGAATCCAACAACACATTAAAAGGATCACACACCATGATCAAGTGGGATTTATCCCAGGGATGCAAGGATTCTTCAGTATATGTAAATGAATCAATGTGATACACCATATTAACAGTTTGAAGAATAAACACCATATCATCATCTCAATAGATGCAGAAAAAGCTTTTGACAGAATTCAGCACCCATTTATGATAAAAAAAAACTCTCCAGAAAGTGGGCATAGAACGAACCTACTTCAACATAATAAAAGCCATATATGACAAACCCACAGCAAACATCATTCTCAATGGTGAAAACCTGAAAGCATTTCCTCTAAGATCAGGAACAAGACAAGAATGTCCACTCTCTCCACTATTATTCAACATAGTTTTGGAAGTGCTAGCCACAGCAATCAGAGAAGAAAAAGAAATAAAAGGAATACAAATTGGAAGAGAAGAAGTAAAACTGTCAGTGTTTGCAGCTGACATGATACTATACATAGAAAATCATAAAGATGCCACCAGAAAACTACTAGAGCTCATCAATACGTTTGGTAAAGTTGCAGGATACAAAATTAATGCACAGATATCTCTTGCATTCCTATATAATAATTATAAAAATTCTGAAAGAGAAATTAAGAAAACACTCCCATTTACCATTGCAACAAAAAGAATAAAATATCTAGGAATAAACCTACCTTGGGAGGCAAAAGCCCTGTATGCAGAAAACTATAAGACACTGATGAAAGAAATTAAAGATGATACAAACAGATGGAGAGATATACCATGTTCTGGGATTGGAATTATCAATATTGTGAGAATGACTATACTACCCAAAGCAATCTACAGATTCAATGCAATCCCTATCAAAATACCAATGGCATTTTTTAGAGAACTAGAACAAAGAATCCTAAAATTTGTATGGAGACACAAAACACCCCGAATAGCCAAAAGAGTCTTGAGGGGAAAAAACAGAGTTGGAGGAATCAGACTGCCTGACCTAAGGCTATACTACAAAGCTACAGTAATCAAGACAATATGGTACTGGCACAGAAACAGAAATATAGATCAATAGAACAGGATAGAAAGCCCAGAGATAAACCCACGCACATATGGTCACCTTATCTTTGATAAAGGAAGCAGGGTGGAGAAAGGACAGCCTCTTCAATAAGTGGTGCTGGGCAAACTGGACCGCTACATTTAAAAGAATGAAAGTAGAACACTCCCTAACACCATACACAAAAATAAGCTCAAAAGGCATTAGAAAACTAAATGTAAGACCGGGCACTGTAATACTCTTAGAGGAAAACATAGGAAGAACACTCTTTGACCAAAATCACAGCAAGATCTTTTTTGATCCACCTCCTAGAGTAATGGAAATAAAAACAAAAATAAACAAATGGGACCTAATGAAACTTAAGAGCTTTTGCAAATCAAAGGAAACTACAAAGAAGACGAAAAGACAACCCTCAGAATGGGAGAAAATATTTGCAAATGAATCAATGGACAAAGGATTAATTTCCAAAATATACAAACAGCTCATGCAGCTCAATATTAAAAAAACAACCCAATCCAAAAGTGGGCAGAAGACCTAAGTAGACATTTTTCCAAAGAAGACATAGAGATGGCTAAGAAGCACATGAAAAGCTGCTCAACATGGCTAAGTTAGAATGGGCTAAGAAGCACATGAAAAGCTGCTCAACATCACCAGTTAGAATGGGCATCATCAGAAAATCTACAAACAGCAAATGCTGGAGAGGGTGTGGAGAAAAGGGAACCCTCTTGGCCCTGTTGGTGGGAATGTAAATTGATACAGCCACTATGGAGAACAGTATGGAGTTTCCTTAAAAAACTAAAAATAGAATTACCATTTGACCCAGCAATCCCACTACTGGGTATATACCCAGAAAAAAATGTAATTCAAGAAGACACATGCACCCCAGTGTTCATTTCAGCACTATTTACAATAGCCAGGTCGTGGAAGCAGCCTAAATGCCCATCAACAGACGAGTGGATAAAGAAGATGTGGTACATGTATACAATGGAATATTACTCAGCCATGGAAAGGAACGAAACTGGGTCATTTGTAGAGACATGGATGGTTCTAGAGACTGTCATATAGAGTGAAGTAAGTCAGAAAGAGAAAAACAAATATCGTATATTAATGCATATATGTGGAACCTAGAAAAATGGTACAGTTGAACTGGTTTGCCGGGCAGAAATAGAGACAAAGATGTGGAGAACAAACATATGGACACCAAGCGGGGAAAGTGGTGGGGAGGGGACTGGTGGTGGTGTGATGAATTGGGAGATTGGGGTTGACATATATACACTAATATATATAAAATGTATAAGAACCTGCTCTATAAAAAAATAAACTTCTACAATTCAAAAAAAAGAGAGTAGTTTGAAGACTGCAGGAACATCCTAGGTAAAAATGGAAATTAAGATGTGAACTACAGCACTAGGAAGAGCATGGAAAGATAGATTCGGGGGAACCTGTTTGTGTGGATGAAGAGGAGAAGGCATATGATTTAGATATGTCCTACTTGGGGCTGAGTAAATGGTTATGACATTTGCACAGTTAGGAAGTGAGAAAAATCAGGTTAGTCAACATGTTGGCACAGTGACTGAGGAAGAGAGAATAAGTAACAGGCTCTTTTTTTAGAAAGAAATAGTTCCTTTTCTATAGGTTCTGTTTTAGACATGTAGTGCTTGAGATGCTTTAGGGGATATTATGTGAAAAGGTCTTGCATTCAGTTATACAACTGTGTTAATGCACTATGTTAATAAATGTTTTATCCTGCTTTTAAAACTAAAAAAAAAAAGGAATAGACACAGTTAAGTTTTCACATGTACTGTTGATGTTCTAGATCACCTTCAGGAAGTTGGTTTAACAAAAACTTATGTTTGCCTCTGAAAAAAGTAAGAAATTCCATTGTCCAGCATCCTAGCTGTAACACAATGAGCAATTTCTTTTATAAGTAATATAAAATGTGAGATAATATTTGGATGTTAAATTTCAAATGTCTCCTCCAGAGTAACATTTACTGCCATGTATTCATTTTTCCTTCTCTTCCAGTTGAAAGAATTCAGAGTCAGTGGGATGAAGTACAGGAACACCTTCAGAACCGGAGGCAACAGTTGAATGAAATGTTAAAAGATTCAACACAATGGCTAGAAGCTAAGGAAGAAGCTCAGCAGGTCTTGGGGCAGGTCAGAGCCAAGCTTGAGTCGTGGAAGGAGGGCCCCGACACAATGGATGCAATCCAAAGGAAAATCACAGAAACCAAGGTTAGTATCAAAGATGTGTTCTTAAAATAAAATACACTGGATAAAATTATACCATGGATTAAAACCTACTGATTTTTAATGTTAATTTATGAAAAGAAAGCAAGCTGAAATGAACAGCAGTCTTTGCAGTCAAAGTAAAGTAGAGATCAGAGGAAAATTGATGGCTAATATCAATGTTAAAATTAATTTTGTTTAATAAATTAGATACAATGGTGTGGTTTTCACATTGCATCACCTTTTAAGATCACTTCAGAATTGTTGCATGTACTTCTGTAGTATCATGAAGTCAATCAGACGGACTTAATTCCTTCTTAGAAAAAGTAACAGGTCTACTCCTTCCGACTTTATTTGAGGGCACTGAATGGAGAAGGGAAGGGTGGATATGAGAGTAAGGTAGGGATAAGGTGTACTCTCACTTCGTCCTCCCACTTTCTGACCTCCAGCCCAGCTTCCCTTCTTTCTCTTCCTTTTCTTCTTCTTCCTCTCTCCCCCTGCCCCAAACTTCATCATATATTTGTCCACCTAATAATCTAGAACTTTTCAAGATAAATGAAACAGAAAAAGGAAAGGAAAGGAAATTTGTTTGACTATGTATTATCAAGCACCACGCATGGTACTTTATAAATATTGAATCCTTTCAAACCTCATATTTATAGGTCAGTTTGGAAAGACCTTAAATGCTAAACAATAGGTAGTCCTTAGGGGATTTTAAGCAGAGAAGTGGCGTAGTGAGAACTTGATCACATTGATGAAAACACTCTATAGGGTTTTTTTCTGGTAGGAAAAGGCCTTCTGCTAAACAAGTATTTGAATCTCAAATTGCCTACGTCATCTGAGAAAAAAGCCATATAGTTTTCTTGCGTGGAATGGCTCCCGTTTCTAAATTAATCATTGTGTAGACTATGCTAAGCCACATAGCATATTTATTTACACTAGGTTTATTTGAAAAATAAACCCTGAAATCTCAGTAGCTGAATACAATGGTGATTAATTCCTTGGTTGTGTCATAGTTCAGTAGAGGTCAAAGGACCCTTCTTGGGAGCTCTCCCCTAAATGGTGACTTGGGGGTCCAGACTTTTCTAATTTTATCAAACCATAATTTTAAAATTTTAAAATCATGGCTTCATCGCAGAAGAGTAAGAGAGAATGTGGTCAAGACATGGGGTTTTATGGCCAGGCCTCGAGATTATGGACATCACTTCCACCCAAAACCCATTGACCAGAACTTGTTCCCAATTTAATTTCAGGCAGAATAAATAGGAATAATGAACTAGTGAGCTTTTAGCCAGTCCTTGTCATAGCTAGTTTTCCAAAGGGTCTGAACAGCAATGAGGACAGGATTTTTATTATATGACAAGAATGTTAGAAAGCCACATAGGATTTTACAGACTTATCAGTACCTTTGTTGGAGGCAACATCTAGATGAATAAAAATTCTCTCTTTCACAAGATACTTTTTGCCACTAAGATTTTCTCCCTTTGATGAGCATAGATGAATTAGGAATTTCCAATGATGGTTTTTCCAATTTTTCACTTGACTATGTGAAACATAGAATCCATGTGGTTATCCTTGAGGGTTCTGGTCTTATCCGTCATGTACTCAGTATGTTATGCTATTTCTTTTTTCCTCTCAAAAATTTAGGGTTCTATGAATCTAGCGGATCATAGAACAAAGTGGTTAACTGGTCAGGAGGAATTACCAGGGAAAAATCATTTGGATTGGACCCTCGAGTTAGATGAGGGAAAGGAGAGATGAGAGGCATATAGAGACAGAGTTGATCAGGACAACAAGACTCTGAAATTTGGCAATTGAGAAATACTCTTCTTTTTTTTTTTTTTTTTTTTTTTTTTTTTTTTTGGGGTACGCGGGCCTCTCACTGCTGTGGCCTCTCCCGTTGCGGAGCACAGGCTCCGGACGCGCAGGCTCAGCGGCCATGGCTCACGGGCCCAGCCTCTTCGCGGCATGTGGGATCTTCCCAGACCCGGGCACGAACCCGTGTCCCCTGCATTGGCAGGCAGACTCTCAACCACTGCGCCACCAGGGAAGCCCGAGAAATACTCTTAAAACATACAGGAATCCTAAAGTGATAGCAAGAATGATTTGGCTTTAATAGCTTTTGGAAAAGCAAGGAGCTTTAAATAAGAGACAGAAAGAGTTGCAAAAGAAAATATGAAAGGAGGAAACAAAATTTTTTCATCAAAATGAGTAAGGTGTTTTGGACACCTAAAACAAAGACAAGATTGTATTATAATTGCTATCCTTGTCAAACTTTTGAAATAAAAATTTGCTTTTGAATAGTCCATCTAAAACTGCATCTTAAAAATGGCTCAGCCATTATCTTTCGAAACTTATGTTTTTGTTTGTGTTATATGTTTAGGAATTTAATGATATATATTGCTGTAACTTCAGTGTAAGTTCCTAACATAAATAAAGAAGACTAAAGCTGTAATTTTCCTGTCCATTTCCTAAATGACATATGCTAAAAATAAAAGTAATACTAGCCCTAATACTAACATTTAGTGAGTACTTGGCTATTTGTCAAAAACTGTGCTAACTAACTAGGCTTCACATATATTGGCTTATTTCATCCTCCCAAACACTTTCCATGAAAAGTACTATTATTGTTCCCTGTTTACAGATAAGTAAATTGAAAGCCTAGAGAAGTTCAGTAACTCCTCTTTAAAAGCAGCAGAGTTGGGATATGAATGCATAGCAATTACTCTTTTTTTTTTTTACATCTTTATTGGAGTATAATTGCTTCACAATGGTGTGTTAGTTTCTGCTTCATAACAAAGTGAATCAGCTATACATATACATATGTCCCCATATCTCTCCCTCTTTTGTAAACGACCTCACAGATTTCCTCCTTAACCCGTTGTTTGTGTGGCTGAAACAAATCAAGAAAATACCGGTGAGGATCAGAAAGGGAGACCATTGTAGTTGTGAACTGACAAATAAGATTATATTACTGATAAGCCAACAGGTGGAAAATGAAAGCAGTGAAACAGTATACCAGGGAGAAGTTTTCATATTTTGTTTTACTGTGAAAAACTAAAAAGATAATTGCAAATTGTATTCCATTTTTAATGAAACTACAATGTTTAATTCTTATAAAAGGAGCCTTATGAAGTCAGGGAAACTTATAAAGTGGAGGGCTGCCTTTATGTCTAATGTGTTATCATTCCTGAATGATACTAGCTGGCTTACCACTTACAATTTTATTTGAGGAAGGAAGTGTGAAAATAGACATATTAGACAGTGTTTAATTTGACAAGGCTCTCCTTGCTCCACGAATTCTTTCTTAGTCTGTGTGTCTAGGGTTAACAAGAGAGCTGGTGAGCCTCGTAAGGCAGTCTCTATAGAATTGGAGAGCTGTGATTACAGCAGCCAGCCTCCTTTGGAGCAGCATCGCTGATGACTGCCCTCCCTGTGACAATGAAATGGTTCTCAAAGCCAACCACGAGCACTGTTACACTCTTTGAAAACTTAAACCAGTCACCATACCTGAGCTAAAGAAAAAATCACTCATAATTCTGATATTTTCATGATTCATAATTGCTAACCTCTGTCTATAATGTCTTCCATTTCTTTTTTTCTTTTTTTTCTTTTTTTTTGGCTGCACCAGACGGCTTAAGGGATTTTAGTTCCCCGACGAGAGAATGAACCCAGGCCCTTGGCAGTGAGAGCGTGGAGCCCTAACCACTGGACTGTCAGGGAATTCCCCTCTCTTCCATTTCTTATCTACGTATTTTTAATTGTCTTCATAATGTAGATAAAATTTTGAATTCTGATTTTAAAGTTAGTATTATATAAATATATATGTTGCTACATAACTTTTAATAATTATCATGTTTAATTGTAATATTTCATTAAGTTCCATCTTTCACCATTTCCCTACTAATTAGACATTTAGAAAACCTCCACTCTTGGTTAGAAAAAATAGTGGAGAAAAAAATTGGAATAACAACAGCCCCTTCACAAAGTAGAACTGAAATCTGAGATGGCATTTGGGAAAAGTCCATCTTGAAAGCATAGACAAGGTGGAAGGAGATAGCAACAGTAAGTATTTGGCAAAAGAATAGACTGTAGGTAGCCCATCGTGTCAATAATTAATGAGTAGATCATTAAATGATGCCCATAATGTATGTTTAGTTTCTTTCTTTCCTATATAACCCTTAATTTTTTGGAAACAAAAACGTAAGTTGAGTAAGTACTTGATTTTGTTAACTGCATGGCTTCATTTGCTCTTCTACATGGCCCTAGTAAAACAATAATGCTCTTTTGAGATAGAAAGACAGATATTAGGGGAAATCATACGGGATTTCCATCCTAATCAAAATGTCTGCCAAAAGGCTATGGCAGAATCCTATGAGAGATGATGCCATTTAACTTTCATAAGAGGTAAGATGGTATGCTTTTGGCATCTAAAACTGCCAGCAATGGTCATCATGGGATTTCTTTTATTTGGCAGAATCTTGGTTTATTTCACAACCTGTTTCCCAGGCTATTAAGATTGGTCCAAACTTGGCAGTGGATTCTGTGGAAAAATTATTTCTTGATGATTTTAAACTTTCTTTTCCAGTGTAGAGAGATTTACCCAGGCTCAGAATTTTCATTTATTTATTTCCCCCTTTCAGCCTTTGAAAGAGAAATTCCTTTTTTTGTCTCTCTTGTGATTGTTTTTCTGTCAAATTCAGCATAAAAGCTTTTCAAACGTGACGGCATTAGCTGTTTTGTGCTTGGCTGAGCTAAGAGTACATGAATTCAATAGAGAAGTGAAATCTTATTTGAGACTAGCTGATTTAGCTATATAATACTTAAAACTATCTGAGGTGAGAAACCCAATAATTTATCAAATTATTAAATAAAGATTTCCAAGGCTGCAAAATATCTGTCTTTTGAAGACATTCTTTAGGGAACTTGAAATGTAGATAGACTGTAATCATGTAATTAATTTTAAAAGTTGAACTTGTTATATGTAGTAAATCTGATATAGCTAT